GTCAGTACGTAAAAACAAATCTCTCAAAATAAGCCGACGTACTGGTGTCAGTGTTTTTGGGGATGGTGTTGAAAGTGTATCCAAATGGAGATGGTGTTGGAGTGGGTAATTCTTTGTCACTCTACTTGTTGAGTGAGTCTAATGAAAAGGATTATGTTCGAGCTAAGCTACGAGTACTCAACCAAGTCCCATCCAACAATGTGGAGAAACAAGGTTAGTGGTTCACTGTATACATATGTCCTTTCATGGCGATATAGTGTCATAAGAAGTATATAACTAAATAATGCGATATGTTTGTTATAAATTTTGTGAAGATATGTGTTTATGTTTAGTTATTTATTATGGATGCAAATTGTCTGATATTTGAAATTTTTGTTGCTTTTTTTCCCTTTCCTTATGGTAAGTTGAGGGATGGCCCAATGCAGCAGAAAATGGATGGGGTTTCGAGAAGTTTATACCTCTTGCAGACCTTAAAGATGCATCCAAAGGTTTTGTCGTGGAAGATTTGCTTGAGGTTGAAGTTGAGATCATTGCCTTCTCTAAAACAGATTCTTTCTAATTAGGGTTTATGATGAGCCCAACAGTTACCTCTTTTTATTGTTTGTTTGTTTGGAGATTCAAACCAAAGAGATCTCTTCGAAAAAACTTGACATTTGATCAGTTTTATATGCCCAAAATAATAAAGGTTTGAAACTCTTTTAATTCCCACAACTTTCTTTTATACGTTGATTCTAAAAAAAAAAAAAAAACTTTCAATATATATGTCCAAAATAACAAAACCAGCTTCTTGGGTATATAAGTTGATAAATAGAGCTTCTTCTAAAACAATTTTTTATATATGTTCAAAATAACAAAAACAGCTTATTGGGTATATAAGTTGATAAATAGAGCTTCTTCTAAAACCTTAAAAAAAAAAATTTTATATATGTCCAAAATAACAAAACAGCTTCTTGCGTATATAAGTTGATGTGCTGGTTGAATCTCATGCTAAGTAACTTTTAGGGTTTATAAACTTCTTCGGAAAGCCACGAGATCTCAAGAGAGATTTTATTAACTGTCAAGAAAGCTGTTACAAGAGTTTTTTGCTATTGATTTTCGGATCCTTTCTTTGAAGGATGTACAAGAGTATTTATACTAGTCTAGGTCTTTAGGACTAAGCCCAAAACGATAAGGAAAACTTCAGGCTTCAAGTCGGCTAACCCATAAACTGACAGGTCGTTATGGGCTTTCTTCATGGATCGGCCCACTTTGCTAGAAGACCACCGGTTCGTCCGTTTACCATCGGCTCTCTGGTTTGATGTCGACATGTTGCCTTAATTAAACCGGCTTGTTGGTTTGATCCGACACTTAGCCATTTTCAAGGTTGTTGATTCATGGGGAGGAATATGACCCCAACAGTTGATAAATAGAGCTTCTTCTTAGGCTCTTCCAAAATTTTTTTGTCATCCTCCTAAATTCTTATACACTAAAACAACTAAAGAATTTTCAACCAATGCGACTATTGATTGGAGATAAAATTGTTAAACTTAGAGTGGACGATTGTTTTTTTTTAATTGCTGAAAGAGTATAAAGAGGTCGAAATGATTTTAACCAATTAACGCCACTAAAAAAATTTTCATTGGGAATTGCGTTACTCTATAATCGATCGTCCAATATATAATTATAGGTAGTAAAAGTGTTTATCTATTACTAGCAACATCAAGACCTAGAAAAGTACGTAAACCAGCAATAGACTGTCCCATGGAGGAATTGATGCATGCTTGACCCTTTGTTCAAACATCTCTCTTTGTTTAGGTGTCAAAAGATGGACATAGCTTCCAAGCGTCAGGTTCGATTTGCAGCCATAATGAGGACCTCTCGGTACACATCCCTTCAGCAGCTCCACTTGTATATATCGTTCCACGCACTCCACGCAGAATCGATGACCGCATAAACCGACAGAAAACATCTGATCATCTTCGAAATCATCGAAGAAACAGATATAGCAAGTCTTCTTCTGATCAAAAGGAGGCATACTTATCCTGATTTCAGAAACTATTGTTTCCATTGCAAGTTTATATGCAAAATTATTAGTTTGATTTCGAGTCACCAGAACAGGGATGCTATATGTGAATTGTTGTCTGATGCGTTGCACATCATCCATTAGCATGGCGATGTTCTCTTGCGCAGGCGCGGATCTTCCCATGACCAATTCAAATATATGATGATTATCGCAGCAGATTAAGATATGAGTGACCCCCAAACTCACGGCTTCGGTTAGTCCTCGGTTCAATGCAGTAAGCTCAGCTTCCAAAACAGAGCCATGAAGTGATCCCTTCATCTGAAAAAAGGGTTTGTCATCCTCATGTCTGCAAATTGCAACGCCAAATCCTGACAATGACCTTGTTGTTTCCATCCTTGTCAATCCCTTGAAGTAAAGGCAGTAACCGGTAGAAGTCACAGTTGCTTCCTCCATGTATCTCTTGCTCATACTATAGCTCCTTGAGATCTACGTTTTATGAAGAATACCGAATTCAAGGAAAGGTTTTTGAGAAGAAAGTGCACTTGATTTTGTTAATTATAAGAAAACAGAGGCTCTTTAAATAGAGATCGAACAACTTCAGCAAAAGGAAAATTGATTATAAAGAGTCAAAAAGGAAATTAACAATAAGAGTCAAAAGGAAAATAAAGAGTAAGAAGGACAAAAACCTAGGCAAAAAGAAAACAACAAAAAATGAACAATAGAGAAAAGGAAACTTGTCGGGCATTTCTCAAGCTGCATCAAAGATTTCGTTTTCCAAATAATTTTGTGACTGAAAACGGAAAAACAGAGAATTAATTGCTTTCTGTATAAAGAATTAAATTTTGAAGTGATGCCAACATTAAAAAAAAAAGTACACAAAACTCGATAAAACATTCAATAAACTAATAACTTGATAAATCTTTAAATTTATTTGATCCTAAATTAGATTTTCGACAAAGTTAGTATCTTTATAAATTAATAACTCCATAAATTAATAAAATAGATTTTGGTGCTAAGTCGTCTGGATCGCCATTCCCCGTCCAAAATCATTATTTTTCATTCTCCATTCTCGTCATCGTTGGCCAGACAATATTAATTTGTAGGGTTTTCACTGTATTTTGAAGTTATAGCATCTCCAACCCAACACCATTTTGGTGTTAACCTTTTTTTATTTATAAAAAGGTCATTTAAATTTTAATCAACTTTAACATATACAAATTGTGATATTTAAATCCAAAATTTAATATGTTTGATAATAATTAAACAAAATCTTAATATATTTTGTTATTTAATATGTTACAATGTATTTCTTTTATATAATAAATATTAAATTTATTTTATTTTATAATTTTTAAAATTAAAAAAATAAGTGAGATTGATTTGTAAATTTTAAAGAATTGAAAAAGAAAATCTATTAAAAGTATTCTATTTTGGTGTAAAAATTAGTATAAACCATTGGATCAAAACCCAACATCATTTTTGGTGTAAAAATTGGTGTAAACCATTTTCCAATGCTCCTGAAATACTTGAACATATTTACTTATTAATGAAGTTCATACCTAATACTATTCGATTTGCTTTCTACTCTAATTTTTTTTTTCATCTCTCTGTGAGAAAGGACAGTTTTGCTTGTTTGGAGATAATGAAGAAGTATCCCATAGGGTCATGTGGACTTTATGTGTGAAGAAGATTTTCAGCCTTTGATTCAATAGTGAAAATAAATAATTAATGTGGCTGGTTTATGGCACAAAGTGCAGGATTAAGAGATTCTCAATGACAACACTCTTGAATCCATCGACAACACTCGATGCATATGTTTACATTATTAATAGGGTTTGTAACTAGTGGTGCTGAGAGTAGAAATCTCTAATTTAATTTCATAAATGAGTTAAAAACAAAGAAAATCTTGTTTCGGCAAAAACAAAAAAAAAAGATTTTTAATAAAAAAAGTCTCTCACCGTATCTTCAAAAATTCTCTCAACTATTTTTTTAATAAAAAACCCCTCAACAATACTTCGTTATTGAAATCAATCTTCCGTCTACAATAACGTTTAATCCCAATAAAAATTGTTTTCTTTTGTTACAAAAATGACAAAGCGTTTTAAATATTGACTAAAACATCAAGTTGTTTACAGGAAAACAATAGAGTACGCAAAAAAAAAACTAGCTGCAACTTGTATTCAAAATCGCTTTGATTGGAGATTATATGTAAACAATTTGATGTTTTGGTCAATATTTGAGATGTTTTGTCGTTTTTGTAACAAAAGACAATAATTTTTATTATGATTAAACATTATTGTAGACGAAGGGTTGATTTTATTAACGAAATATATTTAAGGGATTTTTTTACTAAAAAAATAGTTGAAGGAATTTTTCATGATTCGAGAATAATTGAAAAGATTTTTTATTAAAAACCAAAAAAAAGAGAAATTTCAAAAAATACCACTTTTCAAGTGCCACTTTACAAAAATGCCACACTTTTGAAATCTTTACAAAAATACCACTTTTTCAAAATTATTTTTTCYTTATATTATTTATGTTTGGGTTAATTATGTTCTATTACGGTTTAGTTATGAGGGTTTAAGGGGGTTTAGGGGTCAAAAATTTTTTTAGTG